TTTTTTTTTTTTTTTTTTTTTTTTTTTTTTTTTTTTTTTTTTTTTTTTTTTTTTTTTTTTTTTTTTTTTTTTTTTTTTTTTTTTTTTTTTTTTTTTTTTTTTTTTTTTTTTTTTCCGGATAGAACCAGTGGAAGTCTGTCGATAGCCTGAGCGAGTACCAGCATGACCGAAAGATGTCCCAAGAGCACGGTGTGCTTGGCTTTTCTTAATATGTGCTCTGTGTAAAGTATTTATATATTTATTTACAATCACGTATTCATTCGCAATTATTTAAATGTGAATTTTTAAGTATCTGGCAACTGATGAATTGCTCCTTTTTATGTGCTGTGAGTTTGATTTTGCAGGACTGATCGGTTCTAATACTTGAATTTTGGCCTTTGTGTTGCCCATTCATTCCTGCCCAGAGTGAATGAGGTGTCAAAAAAGGCAAACAGGAATTCCTGCTCAAACTGTTTTAAGGAGCTGATTATTTGCCTTCTCCTCCCTGTTTTTGCAAGAAAAACAAACAAACAAACAAAAAATAAAACCCAACCTGTTGAAATTGTATGGTTGAGCAGCTACGTAGCAGATTTTATACTTCAGTCTTTTAAAATGAAGAATCTCACCGTTATTAAAAGAGGAAAACCTAAAATTATAATGGCCACTTTTAGCATTGTTTAGCTGACCTGTCTCTCGTGGCTTCTTACATCTGCAAGTAAAGAGTACATAACTTTCCAGACTCCTGCAGTGGCCTTTAGTTTTCCTGTTGTAAAAAGATATCTACAGGTTCAGAATACTCAGCTACAGAAAAGATGAAAAATTTCTTCAGTGGTGAAAAAATGTGATTTGCCTTTGTGGATTTTAGGGTTTGTTATTAACGTCTGGTAAGAACAATACAAAAAGATTTAATCCTGCTATGGGACTGTTTGGTATTGAATTATACGTAGTGTACTCTTTTTCTGGGCTTGCCCTGGTGCACTTTTGGAAGTGTGAAGTATATTTATGTTTATATATTAGGTGTGTGTGTATATGTATATATATATTATGTAAAATATACAAATCTGACAGTGTTAACTGCCAGATTTCTACCAGGATGTTTAACACTGTGAATGCTTGTTACAGAGTTCTAGTATGTTTTTGCTGGGAGTTCAAAAGGTTCTGGAGATGGCCCTGTGTGGTGAAAGCCTCTGAGCATGAGAAGGGCGCGTAGGAAAAAGCCACAGAGTACTGACTGCACTGAGCTGTCCTGCAACTCACCTTTTAGGATAACAACAGGTTTTTGTGCAGCCCTGTCCTTCAGGCTACTCTTTGAATGAAGGATACTTTCTGTTGAAAAATAAGTTTGTCAGTATGACTTTAGAGCAGCAATTCGAACTGAAACAGTAAGAGTGAGATAGCCTCATGGCTACATTCTCATCAGCAAAAGCAAAGTGGAAACCATAAAGTCAAAAAGTTTGGTGTGAGTGGCCTGTTATACCAGTACAGGGCTGCCAGTGTCCAAGAGAAGTTTATGAATTTTCATATTTGTTTCAGGGGGGCGATATGGTGGAGCAGTTCAGAATACAAGGACTGAAAACATCAAAAGACTGGCAAAACATGAAAGCTTGGAATCTTACGTGCAAGATGTTGTTTCACTGTAAAGTCTTGAAAAAGCCAAAACTACTGAAAAGTAGAGTAGTGCAAGTCAGCACCAAGTTTTGTAGTATAAACAAGGCATTAATAAAAATTGCATGCATTATCAAACATTTCTTCATTGCTGAAACTGTGGTTTATGTAACCTCCATACTCAAGGACAGGGCCAGTAATCCAAGTCTTTGAAGCCAGGAACTTCTTGATGCGTACTGGAAACGTGATCTGAGAATGATCACTGGTCACTACATCACTGGTTTTTGTTTGGGGTTTTTTTCCAGGAAAAAATGTAGCAGAAGTCTTCAGTGCAGTAATGAAGCTCCATCAGTGCTCTTGAAAATACCGGCATTGGAAAGTTTTGTGCAATGAAATGTGAAAATCTACTTGAGCAGTGTAAAAAACACAGACACACTTAATGCTTTAGCACTGCTACTGATAGAAAGTGAAACTGTGAAGTCCATCCAGACCTTTGGCACTACAGACACTGAATTTTTTGCAAGGCTGAGGAGTAAGATGGGCACTCTTTGTATGAACCTGTTGGACACTGGGAGGAAAAAAGTATGTGTACTCCATTATTAGTAATGTATATAATATCAGGGCTGCTGCTTTTTTTTCAACATAAAATTACTGAATCTTGTTTTTCTATTAGTAGTGTTCTCTCAAACTGCCATATAATATGTCACAGTTAAATTGTATGCATGAGTTATTACAAAACATTCTATTGAATCCTATCGGCCAGAAAGTATTGTTACTGCCACCAGCTTGTAAATAGTGTCTGAACTCTAGGTGGGCAAAGAGCCTCTATTGCAGGCAGGCTTTTTAAAAATTAGATTTGTACACTTCAGCTTTTCACTTCTTTCCCAAAGGGATGAGGGGGAAGCTGATCCTTGTAATTTTGTATCAGTCTCACAGATTTAGAGGATGTTATTGAAAACAGCTGTGTGCTACCATATGTCCAGTCTCACATTGTGTTTAATTTTTTTCGCCTGGAAGAATTGTTAGCACCAGCTTGAGACCACTAGCTGTGCAGTACTAATCCATAAAAAACAAAAAAATGTTTAAAAGATGGACTGTTAAACCTGCATGTAGTGACACAAGACACTTTACTGTATTGGGGCAGTGTCTGATAATGTTTATGTGGACAAAAAAATGAAGATTTATGTTTCTGTTCTCAGAATTTCAGTCTTTCCCAAGCTATAATAGCAGTTGCTTTGGTTTGACAGTCCTGACTTCCTCTGAATTATTGTTGGGATACCAGTGTACCCCTTTGGACTAAACAAACCCTGGGAGCTGCCAAGTGGTTGGGATGTAACCACTAAAACGGTTATAGTACTCAGAAATAGGGCTAGCTGAGGTTTGTATTGTGGTGAGCAAAAGTAGAAATTTAAATGAAGGAAACCTGGGTTTAAAAATAGCAGTAAAGGTATCTCTGCAACATGGAAAGCTGTAGTCTTGGCTTATTACTACTTTGATCAGCTGTGTAATATGGTACTTCAGCTGAAGTTGAAGTAGAGTGAAATACTCGAGAGAACAATTGGAAGTGCTGCTTGGCTTTTTTTAGGAAGACTTAACATAAATCAGTTTCATCAGAAGAGCAAATGCTGAAATTGTGTATCTTGCAATGTCTGATTTTACAGTATTGAATGTAAGCACATTATTAATACTGAGTTCATTTTTGGTTTGTCAAGAGGGAAGGAGGTTTAGACAAGTAATTAACTTTTATGATCCAACATGTAATTATTGGATGCACTTGAAAGTTTAGGGTTTCTGTTAGGGATTACATTCCCTGAGGATACCATCTGTTCAGGAGTTTTGCTCATGGGTCTTTGTTCTTGGAAGTATAAGACTGGCAGGAGTAGCTTCTAAGATTTTAAGCAGGCAAACAAAAAACACAACAAAAAACCCCACAAAACTCTAGAGAGCAACAGCTAATGCCATGTTTTGATGATGGATATCTAAAATGTTAATTACGTTCCAACAGGAAAAAAAAGTAGAACCTTAAGCTTCAGTGTGTAATACAGATTTCATTGTGGGGTGGAAAGTGAAAAAAAGTAGGTAGAGGGAGGAATAGGTGGGTGTAAGGGTCACAGATTACTAAAATAGTAATGCTGGTAAACATGAAATACAGTGTTAAGCATTAGGACTGCCTTTTATTTTGTATGAGTGGCTTAAATAAAATGTCAGACTACTTGTTTATTTTTCTTTTTCCCCTTCCTCTGTTTTACCTGAATTCAGTGTCTGACCAATTGATGGAGTTGGTAGCATTAAACAGTAGAAGGGAGAGCATATTCTGAGATGATTTTAAGAGAACAAGAGAACAAAGATCTGTGAGCTAGGTTGGTGTTGTACCAACCCTCCTTCCTGTTACTTGCCTCCAGCCCTCTCTGGAAGAGGGCTCTCTGTACCAGAAGCTGCAGATCAGAACTTTAGAGAGGTGTGCAAAGAAAGAAAACTGCCTTGTTCCAAATTCCTCTTAACATTTTAACACACTGCACCTAAGATTAAGACTAGCTCTGTTAAACGGAAACAGTCTATCTCTGGGGGCATTCTTGAACATAAATCCATTGCCCCTTCTGCCCAACAAAGGGGCTCATTTCTAGTAAATTTAATGGTAGTGGTTTATGAAGAATGTGAAGTACATTCTGGTAGCCTCATTGAGAAAATACGTGCACAGTTGTAGCTGGTTTTGAGATTTTAACATAATCAGCAAGTGAAGTGTATCATTTACATTATGACCAGCTAGGAGGGCAGTTGTTTTTTTCACTCTTGTATTGGGTCTGGTAGAGAGGCTCTTAGAGTGCTTGGGTCTGTATTGGCAGCTAGAAAGGTGTTGATAACCAGTGCTTTGGCTACTGCATCAAGGCTGTCTCTTCAGCATTCTCCCCTCAGTAGGCTGGGAGAGGGCAAAATCTTGAGAGGGGGCAAGATCTTATTTGGGACAGCTGACCAAAGGGATATTCCAAACCATAGGAATCTGCTCAGCAATAAAAGCTAAAGAGAAAGGATAAGGGGGGGGAGGGGCATTCATTCTTACGATGTTCCTATTCCGGAGCAATCTGCTATGTGTACTGGAAGTCCCAGAAAGGGGATGGATGTCATGTGCTGGTGGGAAGTAGAAAGTAAATCTTTTGGGTTTGTTTGTTGTTCGTTTGGTTGGTTGTTTTTCTTTTCCCCATCTCCACGTGCCTTTATCTTGACCCACGAGGTTTTTTTCCATCTGATTTTCTCTCCCTCCCCCCATCCTGCTAAGGAGGGGAAGTGATAGAGCAGCTTGGTAGGCACCTGGTGTCCAGCCAAGGCCAGCCCACCACCGTTCTTACTCAGGAAACAAATAGAGGGAGAAAACAGGCACATTAAGGAGAGAGTGTCTGTGTGTTTGGTTTGACAGCTTATATAGTCTGCTGTTGCTTTTCTGGTGATTTTTAGATAAGGAAACTGTAGTGTGGATATACACTGGAAATATAAAACTTGGGCTGACAACTTCCTGCTATGAGGAAAAATACTTAATCTGGAGAAGCTGTATCCTCAAGTGGATTTTAATTGCTACTACACCTGTTTTTACCAGATGGTGGTGTCAAATGAATCTGTGTTTCTGAAGGCTTTGCGCCTTTGTGTAATGTAAATAAGACACACAGGCAACCATAGCATGCCCTAAAAATTCAAGTTTTACTTGACTTTTAAATAACCTGGACACAAGTATTGACACAGCCATCTATCAAACTCAGTTTAAAATAAAGCACACAGTTGTTTCGTGAATACTTAATATACATAGAACATATGCATCACATTGATGTGTTTATGTATGTTGTTTTCAAACATCTTTCTAGGGAGTTTTGAATTAAACAGACCTTTCCAAAAGAAAACACGCTGTTTATTCAGCTCAGTATTCACCTGTA